TGCACAGTTGATCGAATTTTCTTAAGGAAGGATTAAGGAATAAATTAAACAAAGTAAGTTTTTATACGACGTGACGTTTAGTCACAGGATAACCATTAGTGAATTTTAAACTAAAGTAAAGATCACTACGAAAACGACTGCATTCAATAAACTGCTTCTTGTGAAAGGTCTCTGAAGGTTCGAAAAGGTAAGAGACAGAGTGAGAAGGAATTTGCTGTATCTGAAGTTAGTCTGAATAAATAATGTGATAAAAACCAGTTTCATCGATGAAACGAAAGGAGATTGCATAGATTTGTATCTAAAAATTCTGGTTTCTTACATAAAACATATGTAAAATAAAATCAAAAACTATGAACTGAAAATAAGAGAAAGAAAAAAAAGAGAAAAATTTTCTTTTTGAGTTTGAAAATGCAGAACTTGAAATTAGGTCTGTGGAATCGGAGTCATGAAGTCGGAATCAGAGTTGAGTAGATTTGAGGGTAAAAGGAGTTGGAGTTGGAGTCGCTAAAACAATTCGACTCCGACCTCCAGTCTTTGTTGGACAGTTTGAATTTGAAATGAAATTAAAGTGAATTGAAAAACATGTAATGACAAACTGATTTATTATTTTTATTTATGGACTATATACATTAAAAATAGTTATTTCCTATTTTAGTGACATATTAATAAATAAATACAAGGGAGCAGAATGGACATGATATTTGCCATTATAGGATTTAACTGATTCATTTAGTTACAAATATCATTGGTAAATTTAGGTAAGCAGCAATAGCAGCAAGAACTCCCAAAATTGATGCCATTCTTAGGAAGCGAGCAGGAAAAGGAGCTATTATTGATCGGGCAACGCGATAGAGAAATACATATTTGGTGATATGATGTGATTGTTAAAATTAAAAACTTTTTCAAAACATTTAGTAACCCTAATGTTTCACTAACAGAAAGACCGTGGAAAGATCTTGCAGAATTGGAAACTCTTCTTTCTACACCGTTTTTTATAGCCACAAAAAGGCTAGAATCTGAAGAACTAACAGGAGGCGATAATGGAATGATGTGATGTTTATTTTTTCTGAAATGGAGGGTTTATTGTAGAAGGAATAATTTCTTTAATGAAGAAAAGAGAAACTAGTTTGCTAGATAATAAGATCTTGCTAGGTTCAATGTATGTTAATTCAAAACGCCGAATTTTGTTGTATGACGAACAAATTAAAAACCGCAAAGAAAGCTATCTGTGAATTTTCATTAAGAATGAAATTATTCTCAGAACAACTTGATTTTATTCAAATCAGACAGTCAAACTGCAGCCATCGCAACTGAGTCTCTATCATCCTCTCTCACAGATGAATTAGATTTTGAGAAATATTTGGATAATATTGAAAAGGTTAAGGCAAATCGAATGAAAATAAAGAACCAAAAGCCTTTAGATATAAAAATAAAAAATACAAAAAAGGTTTATACACGTCCTTTGAAGAAAAAGAAAAATACGATTGCTCTTGCAAGATACCTCGTTTAGAACTCAAAAAAAAAAAAAAAAAAAAAAAAAAAAAAAAAAAAAAAACAACTTCCTGAAAGTTAAAATAAGTTAGCCCTAACAGTAACACACCTCTTTCTGCTACTCAAGTCAGTGTGAAAAGACAGTTCTAAGTTCTGAAGTTTATCAAATCGGAAACTATGGTCCTCTAACAAAGATCTTGCCGAAGTTATACTGTTTCTTAGAAATTACTAATGCCCATTTTCCCATTTCATAATAAATGCTGATTAGTATAAAAAATTTGCTATGCATCAATTTCTTTCTGTAACATCTATTCCTTCTTTTGTAATAAAAAAAACAATAAGCTGTAACCAATGTGTATATGTTTACATATATATGAGGGAATCGGGGGCTTTAAAATGCCAGGAGTCGGAGTCAGAATCTTTAAAATTCCAAGTCGGAGTCGGTCATTTTCCCTACCGACTCCACAGCCCTGCTTGAAACTAATGTCAAAAAATCTAAGTTGTCTGCAATATCCTTGGAATTGTTACATTCGAAAATGTATGATGTATATAGTTTTTCGAGTATGATGTATACAAGCTTCCTTTACAATCTAAAAGAATTCTAACTAAGGTAATTCTTTTAGACTTTTTTTTCTAGTTATTTAATTTTTCTAGTATAGATGAGTTGTGTCTTTTGTTTCTAGGATAATATCCCTTTCCCAGCAAAACACGACGTAATTGTGAAAAATTCAATTTGCACATTAGTAATGTAAAGAATTACCTGATCAAAGCAGCATACTTTAAAAATGTGATATTTGTTTTAGATATGAGCCGAAAAAGCGATTGATAAGCGCAGAAATTTAAATACGCATGCGCAGGGATAAAGTACGTATACTAGATTAAATAAAATGAAAAAGAAACGTATGAAGAGCGTTTTTGTCGATAAAGATGAAGCGTTCATGAAGGTTTGTTTCGTAAAACTATTCACATTTATGATAGACAAGAGAAACATAAAAATTCTTTAGAACTTATAATCTGATGCAGCCCTAGCATGATCTACATATTTTTATGCTCATCTGTTCATAAATAAAAATTATGGTGGAAAGAAATGTAATGAAGGAAAGAATTTCTGTGTCCATCGTAAAGTAAAGGTTTTACTGCAAATTCGCGTTTTGAATATCATATCTATATTATTGTGCAACTAATATTGTTTCGAACCGATCCACAAGAAATTGTGATAATCAATCAAACACTACACTATGTACTTTCTGGGATTTCACATGTTGATTCATTTTATGGCTCGCTATATATCCAATATCGGCCTCCCTTACTATAAACCGTAGTAGAAATATAATATTGAACCATGACCTAGAAAATAAGAAACTTCCATTTTTTAAAATATGCTCTTTTCATCCTCTTAATATTCTGAATTAAATAAATGTTTCATAAAGTGCATAAATGATCTCAATGTATTCTACGCAAATATAGTGATCGTCAAGCCTTCGTTGAACAATGGATGTTTTCTTATATGTTCTCACTGACGAATTATAACATAAAAAAGTTTCACATTTAAGAAATCTCAAAACACTTATGAACTACGAAAATAAAAACATCGATGATTTGATAAATTATAAAAATGCACACATTACAGCTAAGATGAACATTTGATTACCTGTTTGGAAGGTATGATGATGAAAATATTTCCAAAGAGATTCTCTCTGGAAGTGAAAACTGAGCGACTTTTATAGAGTATATTGAGGCATTTGTATTCTACCTTTTTCCTTCAATTTTACAATTTTTATTTTAATTAATTAATTAATATTTTTTTGTACTCACGACTTTATGCTACACTAAATTATAAAACCTGTTTGCCCTTGTTTCATCTACATTTAATTGCTCAAAAATAACTGAATAATTATTTTTATAAATACATATAATTTAGAAATCCGTATTTTCCTTCGTGTGAATTAAAGAAAATAAATTTAAATGTAAGTTTTGTAGTTTATTTTATGAAAAATGTAGTAAAAGCAAAGCCGAAAGCAAGGAACCATTTTCATTTACCTCTCCTGAAAGTGGTCTTGTTAAAGCGTTATCCGAAAAAAAAAAATGTCTGAAATGCCTTCTATTTTAGTTACTTCATATAAACTGCAGACAAAGCTGAAAGCTAACAGCAGTGCACTGTTTTCATATTAAATATATCACTGATTTCATAAGAATTATCGATACTACTTTATTGTAGCATTATCATACTGATTGTAGGTACCTTGGAAATTCGAGACTGAGAGCGAATAGCTTTTCTATTCACAACCATTTTTCTCCTAAGTATATAGGGTCGATGGTAGACTTGTTTAAATTTGATGCTATTGTTTTACAACACCCCGTGCCCAAAAGTAATTAAGATGTATAATCCAAAGTATATTTCCATTGAGTTATAGTCAGAACTAACTATCTTTCGACAATAAAGAGCTTAAAAGATTGGTAATTCAGCTGGATTCAAATCTCCAGAAATGGGCTAGTTGCGTCTGTCTTTTCGAGGATTGATCCTTGTGTTGCGTGAATATGAGATAACTTTTAAGTATTTTTGCCATCCTACAGACCTACAGACTCCAAAGTATATTTCCATTGAGTTATAGTCAGAACTATCTTTCGACAATTTGTGGAAAGTCGACTAATTTATAGAAACGTGAAATATTTATAACCATTTGTAATCAACATTCTGATTTTTCGAATTTGGTTATTATGTATAATTTTATATAATGCAGTAATGCATCAAAACACCTTTATATATTTATTAGATTTTTTTACATAAAAAGCAGTTTTCAGATGTCTCCTAGGAAGGCTTTAGAATTTCGTTAGTTATACTGTAGAGTATTATTTAATTCTCTAAAATGTTATTTTTAAGTTAAATTACCTTTTCTATCAAACATCATTTCATTTCCCTTCCAGAATGCACATTTCCGGCACACGCGATATTCAAATTAAGTATTAAAAAGGAAATATTTAAACGAAGGTTTTAGGTGGTGAAATCAGAGCGTGTACTGCCTGCTTGAAGCTCACTTTGCTAACTTTGTTTCTCTAGCGATTAGAATTCTGCGACGTTGGGTTATTCCTGCCATTACGATTATTTACGCCGACGTCGACTCAGAACTATCGTGCGAGATAGTTACACTGCAAGCTGTTAGGGTATACTTAAACCTCGTAAATTTGAATTTATGCATTAACTTTTGATTTAAATAAAAAATACTGGTTGCTGTAAGCAAGAGATAGTGCCGACTATTAAACATTATTTGAGTTAATAAAGGGTCCTATATACCCCATCCTGATTTTGTAGTACTTTGAAAGAATTCATGATAATTCACTAACCAGTTTCAACGTCGAATACATTTTGTGCTAGCTAAGAATACACGACGTTACAATATAATAGTTTACACATATAGCTTTTATCTTACATTAAAATGTTTGCCATAACTCACTGTTTGGTGTTGCAACAAAACTAACAACATAGAGAGGAAAATGGAAAAAAAACTTACAATGAACTTTTAGAAATATTCCATCTTCTATTGTTGTCTTAGGAAGAGCTGGGTTTGCTGATTTACAGATGAGTCGTTTACCGTTATCTTCTGGAGTAGGTGTAAAATGCAGGATGCTAAGTGTCAAGTTACCACCTTCCCGAATCGTTTCTTGAGTTCCAACTCCAATTTTGTGTCCATTCAGCCACCAGGTAGTCAGAGCTCGTGGGCGGGATCCCCTCGTTTCACATGTAATTTCATGCTTGTCTCCAGCTATCAAAAATGACTGATGATAACGAAGTTTAACGTGAGTCGGTAGCACTAGAAATTAGAAGAACAAATAACTATTTAGTTTAATAAAACTTACTGAATTACTCATACATAATACAAGCGATATCCATACATTTATTTTATACACATTAAAGTCGTAGTTGTGCTTCTGTAAAATGCAAGAGACATTAGGTTAATTGTAAGCAGGAGTGATGAAAAATGAGCAACGCCTTCGCCAGGAATTGAATCACGGACCTCTGGAATACGCGCCCAGCGTGCAGACCACCACACCATGAAGGCACGCTAAGAAAACGGGAGAAATACCTTATAAAGTAAAAGCAAAATTCAAGTCAGTGTAATTTGAAACCATGAGCTTGTTTAAGAAAAATCAAACATTAAATTTAATTAAGAAAATAAAGCTAAGAATCGGTTGCTTACGATGGAATATGATCTTTCTTAAAGGATGTGAAAGGATTTAATTGCTTTCTAAAAAAAGATAATAGTACAAAATATTGTATCATAAAAACACACCTTTTTACTTCTTTGTACGAAGTAGAGGAAGGAAGTATTGTAATCACGAAAAATTTCGGGTACCATATTTCAAAGGAAATATCCATTTTGACAGCAATCGAATGCAATTTTAACGATGTTTTTGCGTGATACTTGCTCGCAGTAGCAGAATAAAGAACTGTTTTTCCCAAACGAATTAAAAATCTGATTTAAAATGGATTCAGAAAAGATATTTTCGCGGGGTCTGAACGTATGCACGTGCGTACGTATGTATGTATGTATCTGACATAACTCAAAAAGAAATAGCCTCAGAACGTTTAAATTTGTGTGTTTCACTGCTATAATATGTAGATGTGCACCTCCCTTCTGGGCTGCAATCCGGCCGCACCAAAAGTATATATATATATATTCTCTCTGTTACTTGGCTCCCTGAGATCAGTAATTTTTATTCTTATATGTTGATAAATTGTGCACTTTTTGCTTTAAAAATGAT